GCAAAAGGAAACGTGGACAACACAAGGAAACCTGGAGAAGAACTGTGGACAAGAAAGCAAAGGGTATTCGTTGATATATATAGTATGTTTCACATGTATTTTTACACTTATTTGCCACTCAGTGCTTCATCATCATTACTACCATCATCTTCTTCATATCATCATCCTAATTATCATCATCCTCATTATCATCATCGTCATATTCATTATTACAACCTTAAATAAGTATTGGGTGCCTTGAAGCCGCCCCCACCCCACACCCCCCACACACACACACACACACACAAATATTTAGGAGGCTAATGAGGAGCCCCATCTCTCTCGACTCCTCCCCCCCCCCCTCCCCCTTTTTTCACAGTTTTTTCCGCTCTATGTCTTTTTTGTGTCGGCCATTCTACCTGCCTTATCGTTTAGGCATCTCGTTGTTGTCAGACTTAAATCCAGTGCTTGAAGAAAGCACACGTCCCGACTGAGGTACAACAAATTGGCCATAGTGTCAGTTCATGTCTTAGACATTTATGTGTTATCCATTGCCTGACGAGCCGAAAAGGACAAGAAAGTTATAACAACTGCTGCTCATTACCAACCAATTGCAGCAATTTTGTGTTCTCGTCTATGACAAACATATATAAATACACTCATTAGAGAAGGTCAGCTCTAAACAAGGGGTCATTACTGCCTTGATCTTATTGCGATTGTCAGGGTAATATGTGATTAGCATTTTCTCTGGATTGCCTCACTTGTAGGCCATTCCAGAAAAGGGCTTCTTGAACATTCCAGGAGGTAGCTTCTAAAACATTCCAGGAGGTAGCTTCTAGAACATTCCAGGAGGTAGCTTCTAGAACAGTGGCTCTCAGCCTTCCTAATGCGGCGACCCCCTTAATACAGTTTCTCGTGTTGTGGCGACTCCCAATCACACAATTATTATTATTATTATTATTATTATTATTATTATTATTATTATTATTATTATTATTATTATTATTTTGGCTACTTCATAAATTTAGTAAATATGTGTTTTCCGATCGTCTTTCGCGACCCCTGTGAAAGGGTCGTTGGAAAAACAAAAGGGTCGCGATGCACAAGTTGAGAAACGCTGTTCTAGAACAATCCAGGAAGTAGCTACTAGAACATTCAGGAGGATATCATCTAGAGCTTTGAATTTGATGGCCAAGCCCCCTATCCTCCAATATTTTTGTAAGCGAACAAAGAGACATCATTTAACCATTTACACAAATTAACTTCAAAATATTTGTTGGGGACGTTTTCATATTTATTTTTCAAGTATAGTGTTATATTTATTTGCCTTATAATAATAATAATAATAATAATAATAATAATAATAATAATAATAATAATAATAATAATAATAATAATAATAATAATAATAATAATAATAATAATAATAACGTGTCAAAAAGCGAATAAAAATACAACAACACTGAATAATATTAAAGGTCAAAAACAAAATTTTACATTTCAATTGATTTTCTTTTGAAGTTAGTTGCATATCTTTCACAGGGTGTTGCAGAACCAACACCAGCATTTTTTGTGTTAAAAAAAAGTGGGGGGGGGGGGGGGTGGGGAAGCTGTTATGGTATTTATAGGCAAAATTTATGTTCAAAAGTTTGGCATCGTCTAATGCCAGACTTTATGCTTCGAAATCGCCCTCAGCTGGGATCGAACTTGGGACCCTTGCGCTCGCAACGCCTAAGCCACAAACGCCAATTTTCTGTACAATGTTTAAAAAAAGAGGGGGGGGGGATGAGTTTCTCCTCCGAATGTTTTCTTTGTGTCGCGTGCCACTCTTGAAACAACAACAACAACAAACAAAAGCAATGAGCTGAATTGCAAATGATACCCCTCAAAAAATATTAAAATAAACAAAATAAATTGAAATATATCAACCCATATTTAAAATGAGGGCTGCAATACATGGAAAACGGGACTCCTAAAATCTCATTTGCATGGGCATATGTGTGTGTATTTGTGGGTGTGGGTGTGTGTGTGTGAGTGTATGCGTGTTTGTGTGCGTGCAGATGTATATGTATATGTAGCTGTGTGTGTACAAGCGTGTATGTTGGTTTCTAGGCATGGATAGGTGTGATTGTATGTGAAATGTGCACCTCTTGGTATATATGTGTTAGGGGTGTACTGTCTCAATTTGGCTATAGGGGTCTGTGTGTGTTGAGTGGGGGGGGGAGGGGGCGAAGGGGTTACAAGTGTGTGTGTGGGTGTGGAGGTATTTGGTTATTGGTGTATGTTTGTATGTGTTCAGCGTTTGTTGCTTAAATGTTGCGATCGCGCTTCGTAATTCTGCGGTGCTGGGTTCCGTCACAGTGTGTTTTGCGTTGGTTTCGGCAGTGGTACTGAGAGCTGACCGTTCAGTAGGCAATGGCAAACTACTGAACGTAAAATTTGCCTAGAAAAACCACAACAGCCATCAAAATGTTGGGGTTGGTTCTGCAACGTCCTGTAAAGGATACGAAACAAATTTTTTTTTTTTTTAATCTCGTTGTGGATATTTTCGATTGTGTTATTTTATGTATGGGAGTATATGGGCATCTTTCTGTCTTTCCAGACGATGAGTTTACATTGTGCTATGGGAGGCCTATGGCGATGGCGAGTGTGACTAGCAAGAACCACCCGCGTTGTATGTAGGTAGGTAGGTAGGTGCTTTGCTAGCCAAAAAAAAAAAAAAACCTTTAACCCGCATTCCCTAAGGGAAAGCTTTAGGTTATAATTGTGACTAGGTTATGTGCACCATATAAAATGTTTTATTACTGCACGCCACCAAGAGCTCTGAAAAAGGACTTCTTCAGTGATCATGCGATCAAAACAACCAGACCCAAATACTGCCCCGACCGGCGACGACGACGTCGTCTACCGGCGAGCCAATGGGCGACCCGGTCTCCGCTGACGCTGCATGTGTGTAAATATGAGAAAATATATGCGTGGGCTTCATTATATGTAAGTGTGGACGTGTGTGTCAAGCGTGTATGTGTGAGTGTGTTTGTTAGAATTCGTCTCTCTGCGTGCAATAGTCGCTGGTCGAGGTTTAAACTCCGCTGCTGAAAGGACACCACATAAGTGTTCTAGTTCTATGCCAGCTACAATCATACAGAACCTTCTTCTACTTCGCGTTCACCGGTTGTAAACTCCCAGGCAAGGTCTGGTTGTTCGTCCATCTCTGGATATTAGTCTTGTTCGGAACCTGAGTGTTTTGTGTACGTAAGTTTTGCAGATGTGACTTATTTTCTGCAGACTGTTGGTTCCTTGCCCCTCAGCCAGAAGGAAGTCCCAATTAGTTGACTCTAACGACATGCTTTTGGGTAGGCAGTGGGTCTATTCTTGTTTTCCCTACAATGGGACACCGGAACCCGCACGGAAAGTCGCACACAATGCATTTTATTGTCTCATTTAAAAACTAGTAAACAAACGATTAGTCCTAGCAACATCCATAAATAAGTACAGGCAGTAAATGCATAAGGCAACCGCTAAAGATGCCAACACCAACGGTCGCCACCAAAACTACAATTTATCGTGCAAGCATGTGTGTGGGTGTGTTTGTAAAGATATATATTTGCGTACATGTATTCGTGTAATAAACCACGTAGTCTAATAATTTATACTTCTGATAACTCTATAAACCAGAGATTTTCATGTATACAGGCCAAACAAATTTGTCAGCCGCAAAGTTTGGCCTACATTTTACCTGACGTGAAACTAAATAACAGTCTTTTAGCACGTCATCTAGCGGTTTTGCCGCAATACTTGAAAAAAAATTTAGCACAAAAATCGCCTCAGGGAAGCGAAAACATTGATTATGCAGCCCTGCAATCTATAAAAATGGTCACGAAAGGACAAACAAATTCAGAACAATGAGACATCTTGATAAGTTTTCCGTAAAAATCTGGCTTGTAAAATCAATGGTTTGATGATGCGGAAATATTTGGATGTGCCAGGTTTCTCACGGAATTCTCTTGTGCGACCATTTTCACAGACAGGATACTCGAAACATAATTCTACTTCTTATATTTGGACTGTTTAAAACACAAGAAATAAGTAGGGCTGTACCGAATAGTGATTTTCACTATTCGGCTGAATACGAATAGTGGGACCAACTATTCAGCCGAATACGAATACGAATAGTATAGCATCATCATTATCATCAGGCGCCGACTGGCGTGGGCGATCATGCCTCTCCACAATCTGCTATCTCCTGCAGCATGTATTAGTTCGTGTGCTGACACACCTCCATGCCATGCAACAAGACTGTAAAGAATCTTCTATCGTTGTCTTCCTCTATCCCTCCTTCCACAGATCTTTTCAGTGGTCACCAAATGTTCCATTTCCCCTCTTCTCATAACATGGTTGAAAAATGACGACTGTCTCCTTCTGATGTCTGTGATCCTTCCGCCTCTTTCAAAACCATCGTTCGCTCGGCCGTTCGTTCGATGTAATTTAAACGCACCTTCATATTCTCGTTAGCAAAACCTTCAAATTTGATTTGGGCGAAGACACCCTGAAAGAACGAAAAATGCATGATTTATCTTTCTCTCTCTGGCCCTCTCTCTCTCTCTTTCTCTCTCTCTCTCTCTCTCTCACCCACACACACACACACACAAACACTTACACACACACACGCACGCGCACACACACACACACACTGCGGTTGGCATTTTATGCAGTTTGTACCACGCAACTGGGTCGCAGTTTCCCCCGCTACGACAGACTTTGGCAACAGCTACTATTGTGTTAATGAGAGAATTAGTTCAGTCCATCGCAGTGTTTGCAGAAACGGGAGTAAGGTAACTACTATTCGTGTTCGGCCTGACCGCAACTATTCGGACGAATACCGAATAGTTATCAGGTCCACTATTCCGCCCTGAAGCGAATACGAAGCGAATATTCGGTACAGCCCTAGAAATAGGTGATATAAATTTATTCATTCTGTGTTAACGAAGTTCTCGAAAAACCAAATATAACACAGACTGTGATTAGGAATGGAAAAAATATTGACATATACAACCGACCGTTTCGACCAAAGTCTTTACCACCGGTGTATTGAATACAAACAGACAACAGACAGACCGGCTAGGCAGGCGGGTGGACAGACAGACAGACAGACAGACAGACAGGCAGGCAGGTAGGCAGACAGACAGACAGACAGACAGACAGACAGACAGACAGACAGACAGACAGACAGACAGACAGACAGACAGACAGACAGACAGACAGACAGACAGACAGACAGACAGACAGACAGACAGACAGACAGACAGACAGACAGACAGACAGACAGACAGACAGACAGACAGACAGACAGACAGACAGACAGACAGACAGACAGACAGACAGACAGACAGACAGACAGACATCGATTTTTTTCTTACCTTTTTGAAGGTATAAAGTTGCGGTTGTCCTTGAAAGATTTCTGAGCATTGTTTTCTGGTGTAAGGTTCTAAGTGGTCGTGGTTGGAGTTTGAAGCAAAACCTCCATTGTGTGTCTTAGGATCTACAACGCCCTCATCACCAACCCTCTCGTCTTTTTGCGATAAGCTCCCGAAAGATTTCCCACTCATTTCTGTGGGTGTGACGTCATCTATAGGCACGCTCTGCCAGATTTGCTTTTCAAAATGGCGCCCATCGCCTTGCTCTTGCACGCCGGCTACTCCAGAAGTCCTCGCGTTTCTCTCCGGCCTCCTCATTAGTAAGATGATGGTAACGATAATAACTGAAATGATAACAGTAATGCCACCGATAACACCAGCAATAACGATGTATTTAATGTCGTCATCATCCAGCGTTGAAGCTAAACTCCCATCGTCAGATCGCGTCCGGCCCATTCCACGACCGCTGACGTAATCGATCTGTATAACAAGAAGCGCTTGGGCGTCTAAAACAGGGATTCCCTGATCCCGAACCGTGACATTTAAGTGAAATACCCCAGTCTGTAGACCGTAAAGTATTTCCGTGTCATTTGTAAGCCTGATCTCACCTGAGTGGGGATCTGGGATCACGAAAACTTTCTCGTGGTTGCCAGCCACTATGCTGTATTTGAGTCGCGCGTTGCGACCAACGTCATTGTCGGTGGCAATTAGTCGAGCTACTACTGAACCCGGTGGTGTATCAGACCGGAATCTCACTGTATTGTTAAGCCGTGACGGAAATATAAACTGTGGACTGTGGTCATTGGAATCAATCACGTGGACCGTCACTGTTGCAGAAGAGGATCGAGGAGGATTACCCTTATCCTTCACAATAACGGGAAATCTGTACGAATCCTTCTTATCCTTATCTAAGATATTAGCAGTTCGAATAATTCCGTTTGATATCACAACGAAAGGAACGGGATGTTCAGAGTCGACACCTTCATCAGGCATGAAAAAAACGACTTCTGCATTTGGACCTTCATCACGATCATTAGCCTCAAGAGTTTCCACTTTGGACCCCGCCGGAAGCTTCTCGGCTACTTGAAACTCCAACGAAGAACTGAAATACGGAGAGTTATCATTCTGGTCGATAATATCAACGATAACTGACGTCTTGCCGATCTTCTTCCCGCCATCTTCCGCCATAACAACAAAAGACACCTGAGAAATGGTCTCTCTGTCAAACTCCTGACCAGCCGTGATCTCCCCTGTGATACTGTCAATCACAAAAGAGGGCTCATCTCCGTCGACGGAAAAAGAATACCGAATCCTGGCGTTATCTCCGAGGTCTTTATCGTAAGCTTTAACAGTTAGCACAGTATCCCCCTTCCGGTTGTTTTCTGTTAGATTCGCTCGGTAAATCTGCATTGTAAAAACTGGATGGTTGTCATTAGCGTCCAGTAGCTTGATCAGAAACCACCCATATGCCGCTAATTTTGGAGTGCCTCTGTCCTCACAAACAATCGTAACGTTGATTTCTTCTTCGGCTTCTCGATCCAACTGTTGGGCTAACTCGACCAGAAATCCGCTGCCTTCAAATCGACGCACGTTAAATTTGGGAGAAACGCTGGAGCAGTCGACGATTCCGTTGAGTCCCGTGTCCCTGTCGTCGGTACGGACATGGGCCACCACTAACTCCAAGGGGGACGCTTCCGAGATAGTTAGGGTGTTGCCGTCGGGGTTTGGCACCGCGTTGACGGAGATCCTAGGCGGGGTGTTGCCGATATCCAGTATGCTCAAGATCAATACTGCTTGTGATGCCTGCTCGAAAATGGAAACAACAGTAAATGGGAGAATAGAGATAAAGAATATGGTGACACATTTATACAAAAAATGATGAAAGCAAAGAGAATTTACTACGTCAGTTACCTTAAAAAATACAGAGGGCTGGATGATTATCTTATCGACAACAAAGACAATAATAATAATAATATTAATAAAAATAACAACAATAATAATAATAATAATAATAATAATAATAAGAAGAAGAAGAAGAAGAAGAAGAAGAAGAAGAAGAAGAAGAAGAAGAAGAAGAAGAAGAAGAAGAAGAAGAAGAAGAAGAAGAAGAAGAAAAACAAGAACAAGAACAAGTACAAGAAGATAATAATTAGGAGGAAACCAGGAACAAAATTAAGAAATTGAAGAATATCTTTGCAACGCAAGAAATAATAATTACTGATATTATTAATATTTTTATTATTTCTAATTACATAATTAATAAGAAGTACACTCTTCTTTGACTATCTCAGTTTTATTTGAAATCCACGTGGCTTCTCATGCACGGAAGATTATTTCGGTCTGTCTTGTACACGTGTAAACAGGGGAATAAATGCTTACGTGAACAGATTTATGCCTAGATATACTTAGGAATGGAAGGGTGAATCTATGCGCGGACGGACAAACATTGAGCTGGTCTGGCAGAGCAGACGCCCCAGACAGGATGAAGTTAGTGTATGCTTGAATTTACTTCCCAAGAGAACACTTAGGTATGACTACAGTTTTTTTTTTCTTTTTCTGGCGGTACGCAAGGGTGCACAGTACTGGCATCTTTGCTAACATTCTTACTTTGTTGATCCTCTTCTACCTTGGAATGTAGGTTTTCTAGAAGGGTCGGCAGACTTCTCTATCTGCAGTGTTACCTTCTTTTTTTTAAAGGCATTATTTTAGTTTTTCTTAAAGTTACTGTAATAGACACTGTAAAGTGACTACTTGAGTTTTTTTTTTTTTTTTTTTTTAGGAGAAGAGGGGGGGGGGGGGGGGGGGGGGGGGGGGGGGGCTTCTCTTCTTCTTCTTCTTAACGTTCGCAGGCTGTAAACTCCGGCGGAAAGTTCTGGTTCTTCGTCAACTTGTGGACTTTAAGTTTGTTCCAGAACTTGAGTTTTGCGTGTACGTCCATTTTACAAATACGAATATTTGTATGCAGACTGTTGGTAGTTGCCTTTGGTGATACGGTGTGTACCGGCACTTTTGTTTCCTAGAAAAAAGGGGAAAAACTGGGCATTGTTACTGCCTCTGCTGTCCGTAATTACCATTTTTAGGGCGGGGTAGAGTAATTAGCCTAACGAGATTCACGATTTAAGGCCGCATTGCAAGTCGGAATGGTAGACAGATTTTTGGAAGGCTGGAACGAATTAAAAATATTTACATTAATTCGCCGTCTGTGGGTTAGGCGTTGCGAAAGCGCTTCATAATGCCGGGTTGGATCCCAGCTTCAGACGATCTGGCAGCAGACCGTCTTGCGTCAATTTTAATAGTGGTTTTGAGAGCCGACCATTCATTCGACATTTCTGACTATTGGATGAAAATCTATCTTTTAAAAAATCCTAACAACAACAACAACAACAACAGCCAAAAAATGCTGTGGCTCGTTCTCCAACATCAGATAAGCAGTGGTTTTCAACCTTCGTAATGCCGCGACCCTGTAATACAGTTCCCCACATTTTGGCGACCACCCCCAACCACATAATTATTTTCGTTGTTACTTTATAACCCACAAAGGGATGTCTACCCACAGGTTGAGAACCTCTGAACTAAATGATACGCAACCAGTTTTACTTTGCATTAATTGAAATGGGGGGAAATAATTTCAGGATAGGAGTTATTTCCCCTAACAACTCAGACATGGTACGGGATAAAACTTCATATTCTGAGGTTTCACTGTATATTATTATATTATTTTGCCATTCAGTCATTTAATAATAAGCACTTAAACGAGGTTTAGGTCTCTGAAGGATAATTGACCCTCTCCTAGAATATTTTGAACAGGGTTGCGACTTTTCCCACACAAACACATAATGTGTCTGTACACCTGACTGGTCAATCCCAGACTCACCATATTGGGAGACGAGGGAACTAACTGCACTATCACCATCCGCCTTGCTAGGACTGTGCAGGTCAGGGTTGTTATTTTGGCTCCGACAGAAACATTGCCATCCCTTACTGAGGATCAAATCCATGTCTTCCGCGTGAGAACCAAGCGCTCTATCACCTTCGCCAACCGGTCGTCCCTAGGAGTAGTGACTGGTTTGTGACATAAGATTAAATGTTAAAGGTGAGAAGGTCGACTTTATTGCACCGGATTTTACCCCATACAGCTTGACCTCTCTCCGTCTGTCAAGAGAGTCACACAAAACACGAACTCTGTAGCTCCGGCAAAGATCCATAAAAAATAGCCAGTCAACAAGTCTTGAAAGACGCGTGCAGTAACTACAGTAGCACCAACCACCCAGTCATGATTCTAGCCGACACTGTCTGGTTGTTACGTAAAGCTCGAATGTAATTATCAATAATTACTTAACATGTAATTACATGAGCAGACGTGACGTTAATGTAAGTTCTAAGTAGGGCAGAAAGCTTTCAATTCACATGGGACTTACAGCCAAACAGAAGTAGAGGTGGGAGAGGGGGGAGAGAAAGAAATAGAACTAGAGAGAGCATGTGTGGGGGAGAGGAGGACGAGGTGGAACGTGTGTGGGGAGAGCAGAGACATAGTGTGTGTGTTGAGAGAACAGGGAGATTGAACTAGAGAGAGAAATAAAAAGATTCAGTGGAGCGGGCGGGCGGTGGGGGTGAGGGAGACGAATAATGACTAATTATGGTGTTTCCTTCGACGTCGGGGCGATTTTCTTGAGAGGCAATGAACCAACTGTCTGCGTTCAAATAAGCCATATATGTCAAACGGACGCACACGCAAAACTCAAGTTCTGAAACAAGACCAAAGTCCAAAAGTGGACAAACCACAGCTTTCTGACGAAGTTTGCAGCCTGTGAACGGGAAGAAGACAGAAAGAAAGTCTAAATTCAGACATAGACTCAGTCAGTGGGAATGAGATTAGAGAGAAATGAAGAGTGTTAGAGGAGAGTAAAGAGGCAAAGACGCGAGACAGGGTGAAATAGAGAGGAGGCGGGGGTAGTAAGAAGAGCAAGAGGCGAGAGAGCGTGAGGAGAGACACAGTGACCACAGAACGGCGAGAGAAAGAGAGAGGAGATGGCAGACAGAAGGCAGAGATAAAATGCAAGAAAGGAGAGATATACTTAAAGTGGCAAGAGGGAGAGAAGCGAGAGAAACACACACAAACGAGAGAGAGAGAGAGAGAGAGAGAGAGAGAGAGAGAGAGAGAGAGAGAGAGAGAAGATGGGAAACAGAAGACGGAGAGAAAATTAAAGAAAGAAGAGAGATGCAGAAAGTGGCATGTAACACTATCAGACTTACCCTAGGGGAGTTCCTTCAGGTAATGCTAAAACGTCACCCGTCAAACCTACCTCTGGAGAGTTCACACAGTTAATGTTACAACGTCACCCGTCAAACCTACCTCTGGAGAGTTCACACAGTTAATGCTACAACGTCACCCGTCAAACCTACCTCTGGAGAGTTCACACAGTTAATGTTACAACGTCACCCGTCAAACCAACCTCTGGAGAGTTCACACAGTGAATGTTACAACGTCACCTGTCAAACCTACCTCTGGAGAGTTCACACAGTTAATGTTACAACGCCACCCGTCAAACCAACCTCTGGAGAGTTCACACAGTGAATGTTACAACGTCACCCGTCAAACCAACCTCTGGAGAGTTCACACAGTTAATGTTACAACGTCACCCGTCAAACCAACCTCTGGAGAGTTCACACAGTGAATGTTACAACGTCACCCGTCAAACCTACCTCTGGAGAGTTCACACAGTTAATGTTACAACGTCACCCGTCAAACCAACCTCTGGAGAGTTCACACAGTTAATGTTACAACGTCACCCGTCAAACCTACCTCTGGAGAGTTCACACAGTTAATGTTACAACGTCACCCGTCAAACCAACCTCTGGAGAGTTCACACAGTGAATGTTACAACGTCACCCGTCAAACCTACCTCTGGAGAGTTCACACAGGTAATGTTACAACGTCACCCGTCTAACCTACCTCTGGAGAGTTCACACAGTTAAAGTTACAAGGTCACCCGTCAAACCTACCTCTGGAGAGTTCACACAGTTAATGTTACAACGTCACCCGTCAAACCTACCTCTGGAGAGTTCACACAGTTAATGTTACAACGTCACCCGTCAAACCTACCTCTGGAGAGTTCCTTCAGTTAATGTTTCAACGATACCAATCACATTTATCACACGAGGATTCGCTCAATTAAAGTTGCAACGTCACCATTCAGACTTAGCCAAGAAGGATTCTCTCAGCTAACGTAACAATGTCACCTGTCAGACTTACCCTAGGAGGATGCCATCAGTTAATGTTACAAGGGCACCCGTCAAACTTGCCCTCTATGTGAAGTCCCTCAGTTAATGTTACAATACAATGATACACTTCTTACTTACCCTAAGAGAATTCGCAGTCACCCTTACCCTAGGAGGATTCAATCGGGTAGCGTTACAAAGCCACCCGTCAGACTTACCCTAGGAGAATTTCTTAGTCATGTTACAACGTCACCATTCAGACTTAGCCAAGAAGGATTCTCTCAGTTAACGTAACAATGTCACCTGTCAGACTTACCCTAGGAGGATCCCCTCAGTTAACGTTACAAGGACACTAATCACACTTACCCTAGGAGGATCCCCTCAGTTAACGTTACAACGACACTAATCACACTTACCCTAGGAGGATCCCCTCAGTTAACGTTACAAGGACACTAATCACACTTACCCTAGGAGGATCCCCTCAGTTAACGTTACAACGACACCAGTTACACTTACCCTAGGAGGATTGCCCCACTCAGTTATTGATCAACAATATACTTCCTTCATCCATATATTTAAAAGCCGTTGAGTTGAGTGGAGTTGAGTCAAGAATTGACATCACAGCAATCGTTGCATTCCCATCTTCAGCAGCCAGCGCAGAGTTCCAATACTGATGGTACCGGTCACAATCTGGTTATATGTCCGTCCTGCCTTTCCTCTGAGTATAGTGAGCCGGTCAAACCCGCCAGTTACACCCAGGCGCTTCATTCTCTTCAGGCCAAGAAAATTTTGTTTTTCTACTGATTCCGTAGCTTGTTTCCAAAGGACCTTGACCCCATCTGCCCTGTCATGTATCAATTACCCACCCAGTGGTGCAGATCCAGCCAATATGTCTGCCTGTTCATTACCCTCCACGCCAGCAAAGCATGGAGAAAGGATACAAAGTATGCTCACTAAAAGGCGTAGATATTAATAATACAAAGGAGCTGAATGGTCGTAGATCACGAGGCCGACTAAGAAGACTGGAAAGATACTGTCCAGACAGACCTACAAACACTTGGTGTCAATCAGAGAGATGAGTGGATACGGGTGATATCTGCAGCAATGAAACTCAAGGGCTCGGAATGCTGAAAAAGTATATATTTCACACTGTTCTCAGATTAATTCCTTGTATAAGCTTGACTGCAGTCACCCCCATATTTTTACCATTTTTGGATGTTCTCAGATTAGAGTCTGTGGCTTAGGCGTTGCGAATGCGCTTCGTTATGCCGGATCGCTGGGTTCGATCCCAGCTGCGGGCCTTGCGCTTGGCGATGGTTTCGATAGTGGTATTGAGAAGCCGACCGTCTAGAAAGAAATGGAAAACTACTGGACGTGATCTTGCCTAGAATAACCACAACAGCCAAAAAATGCTGGGGTTTGGTTCTGCAATGCCCTGTAAAGGATACGCACCTGACCTTCTCAGATTAGTTGGTGTAATTTAAAAACAGTAGGAGCCTCGTGTCTTTATATAGCTTAGTGCCTCATCCAGTCTAAATCCGGCTCTGCTGGCAAGTGTGGTTTTGCATTTATGTGGGATTTATTCATTAATTCATTCATTCATGCATTCATTATCCTGTTGTGCCACTGTATGCCACATGGGGTTCGCAGTATCCCCCCCCCCCATTCCGTTCTATACAGTGCAATCAGTTTAATATCAAGGATGGAATCCAGTCTAGCAGCTTTGGCCTCTCTCATCAACGTTAGCCTGAAGGTTTCTTGTGTATTTCTGTGTTATATTAAAGGCTTAAATCATTCAATACTGAGCAACGCACTATGCGTTTCTCTGTAATACCAAGTAAGTTAGGCTTTTATGAGCTCTGCATGCCCCGTCTTGTGGTTATGTTTAACCCGCCCTAACCCACTTGTTATGTTAACCCGCCCTAACCCACTTGTTATGTTAACCCACCCTAACCCACTTGTTATGTTACCCACCTTAACCCACTTGTTATGTTAACCCACCATAACCCACTTGTTATGTCAACCCACCTTAACCCACTTGTTATGTTAACACACTCTAACCCACTTGTTATGTTAGCCTTTTCTATTGATGACATGAATTATTTCACACAACAGCTTTTCTTCTTCTGTCTTCCATCCCTATATGGAGAATAGGCCCTCATCCAAATCACGCTAAGTCGTTATATCCGTCGCTATTGCATGCAGCTAACACCATGTCCTCTCCATCTTTTTTAACATCACTCTCTAGCTGCCTTCTCTTTGTGTTTCTGGCCACCCTTTATTTCTATGCTCTTGTGGTTTCCACTGCAAGACCCAATGATTTAATTAACGACTATGTCGTACAGAACGAGGTATATGTATTTTTGTTATTTTTCATGTTTGTGTATCATAGAACTCCAGAACGCAAACGAGAATATTAAACTATAACGTCCGGATCGGTGGTTCTCACCCTTCCTAAAGCCGCGACCCTTTAATACAGTACCTCATGTTGTGGCGATCCCATCCCATACAAATATTTTCGTTGCTACTTCATAACTTCAATCAATATGTGTTTTCCGATGGTCTTAAGCGACTCTTGTCATTCGACCCACACAAGGGTCGTGACCCACAGGTTAAGAACCGCTGGTCTAGATACTTCTGTTTACTCACCTCCGCCTGTTCAGGAACCGCAACCTCGTAAGTATTCTCTGTAAACATGGGCGAATTATCGTTTGTGTCTGTGACGTTGATATGAACCGTCACATTTCCGGCCCGAGGGGGTACCCCGTTGTCTTTGGCAATAATATACAACAGGTAATGGCCCTGTTTCTCCCGGTCTAAGGGTTTCAAAATCACAATTGACAAATCCCAAGTTCCGTCTAATTTCATCTCAGATTTCAACTCAAACATATCGCTGTAGTCAGATTTCATTTCATATTTCCGAACCGAGTTCTGTTCATCCGTGTCTTTATCCGTGGCGCCGGCGATTCGGAATTCGCTGTTCACATTGACCGATTCAGAAATGTACAAGGTGATTTCATCGTTGGGAAACCGAGGGGTGTTATCGTTGATATCTTCAATGATGATTCGAACGCTGACAATTTCAAAGAATTTCGACACCGACGAGGTGACGGTGACTTCAAACTCCACATTACAAGTCTTCTGAAACTGACAGACACTTTCTCTGTCAATCATTGCGGTTGTGTAAATAGCGCCATTATCACTGTTGATACTGAACAAAGATGCCGTGTGTTGCAGATTGTTAGGGTTGAGAAATTTAAAACTCAGGTTGGACAATTCGTTTTTGTTGACCTTATCGACGATTTTAGCTTTTTCCCGAATGCTTCCAACGTTGGTTCCTGAAGGCATTTGCTCTTTAATGCGGAACTCTACTTGACCGTACTGCTGGCATTGAATTAGAGAACATAGTAATATCACAGCCAAGGTCAGGGGTATCCGGCTGAAGTTGGTGAAGCACAGTGCGAGCATGGTTTATGTCTTTGTGGGTATGTATTTTCTTTGGCTTTTCTTTCCTCATAATCTGCTTGAAGCTCAGAACTAGCTCATGGTTTGAGGTTACCAAGTTATAGAGGTATCCCAGAGGACGATGGAGAAATCCAGGAGAAATGTTGCTGTGTTGTGGTTGGGAGGCGGGGAATTGCAATGGCCGCTGTTGTGGTTGGTGGAGGGGGTGGGGGGGCATGTCATAGACCGTGTGGTGGTTGGGGGCATGCCATGGACCGTGTGGTGGTTGGGGGCATGTCATAGACCGTGTGGTGGTTGGAGGGGGGGGGCATGTCATAGACCGTGTGGTGGTTGGGGGTGGGGGTTGGAAATAGAATAGTAGTAAGGAAACAAAAAAACAGATTGCAGAAATGCTTAAAGCTGAGCGTCTAAAAAGAAACACACTAAATGTATGTGGTGACAACAGCGGTCCTGAAATCACATGCTCTAACTGTGGAAGACATTTCTTAACACGGCAGGTCTTGCTAGCCACAGTCGTTGTCACCAGGAGCTGTGAACCCAATGTCTCACCATAGCATTATACAACACTGTCGTCTGGAAAGACGAAAAGATGCCAACAAGAAATAAGAAGAGATATCAACCACAGTTTACGGACCCAACCCATCTCTATCTTCCTGAGCATATGTATTGAGTCATTGAGAAAGCATGAGCGGTTGAAAGTTTGTATCTTCAGCCATGTTATTGTTTTGGTTACTGCCATGACTAGTCAGACTACTTGAGGTCAAGGCAAACAAACCAGAATAGATCAGTTACAGGACGTTGCAGAACCAACCCAAACAGCCCCTGGCTGTTGTGTGGTTTTTCTAGGCAAATTTACGTCCAGTAGTTTGCCATTGCTTTCTCGACGATCGACTTTCTTGATGCCACTGTCAAAACAAACGCAAGGACGCATGGCCCGCAGCAGGGATCGAACCCGGCATTCCCGGCATTACGAAGCGTTCGCATCGACTTAGCCACAAAGCCGACAATAGATCAGTGTATGTGCGTGATACAGTGATAGCTCGTCTTGAGAAGACAAATATTATTTAGCTCAGTTATTCTTCAGCCGAAGCAAACATGGTGCGAAAATGAAACTCACAACGCGGCCGTATTATGTTAATGCGTCCATACCTAAAGCATGTTTTAGCCGAATCTATCTTCGTTACCCTGAGGCTGAAAAACACGAAACAGATTTTTGTTCGCCGAAAAATTCGTTAGCCGGTTAACTCGACAGCCGATGTATCGCTGCATTTATGTGTGAGCGAACTAGTCTCGACCTTGAAAAAACCTTGAACTACAACAGCCGTCTAATATTCGAATCTACACGAAGCATGAATACAAGTGTGCTGATTTGCCGCTATCGGTCATGCGTCTGCTGGTTCCAATCAGAAGGAATCGATTACTGAGACAGTAATGTCATCTATTCAATACCCCATCAGTACAAGGCTTGTGACCTTGCCTTCTCTGGACGGATCGATACCGGAGCAGTAAGAATTTCAAAAGGTTTTAAAGAAATTTTAATCTTGACACATTAGGGAGTTGAAATGAAATGAATTAGTAGTAATCTATGTTTGGTAATGTTTGTCGACGTTAAGTTAATTAGCTAGGGGCTGTTTTCACGAAGATGAGTGTATGCAATGGATCTTCTTCCACTTCGTTTTGTTCATTTCTCCCTGACACGTTGTGTTGCGGTTTAAATGGAGGCTGTGATATCTATACCTTTCCCAAAGCATCCGATTTCAGCAAACCCCTAATAGTTCGCGCTTTTTATGACATGTCTAGTAGGGGGCAGGTCTCTTTACTACTACTACTACTACTACTACTACTACTACTACTACTACTACTACTACTACTACTACTACTACTACTACTACTACTACTACTATTACTACGACTACTACTACTACTACTACTACTATACTACTACTACTGCTACTACTACTACTACTACTACTACTACTACTACTACTACTACTACTACTACTACTACTACTATACTACTACTACTACTTCTTTTTCTGTTTCTTCTTCTTCTTCCTATGACTTCTTCCTAACCTTCTTCTACTTCTGCTTCTTCTTCTTCTTTTTTTTCTGCTGCTTCTTCCTTTGTCTTCTTCCTCCTCTTCTTGTACTTCTGCTTCTTCTTCTTATTCTTCTCCTTCTTCTTCTTTTTCTTCTTCTTCTTCTTTTTATTCTTTTTCTTCTTCTTCTTCCTCCTTCTCCTCCTCCTCTGCAGCAGCAGCAGCTCTGTAGCTACTGCCACATGGTCACCCCAGATATCAGACACAAAACCTCAGACCCTGGCACTAAACCAGATGGGCGAACAACCAGGACTTTTCAGCGAAGCTTGCAGCCGGTGTACGAAGAAGAAGAAGAAGAAGAAGAAGAAGATTTATTATCATTACCCAGAACACGTGATCACATCAAACTGTCATCATCCAATGAATGCCCCGAATAAACAACCAATGGAATACATTACCAGCTAATTATAGCTTCACGTGCAGATCAGACTCGCACAAGAAAACCCCCTCACAAAGTACCGCCTGTTTATTTAGGCGCTTGTTCATTACACCGAATCGAAGCTCAGGGGCTATTTGATGTGTTTATGGACAACTCAACATATTTTTCTTCCAGGCCGTTGCAAACAAGTCGCCTTGAAGATAGGGTCTTGTTAATATTATGGTGATTCTCATTTAGAGAAAATGGTTCGTTAGGTCTGATTGTGGGAGCAGACTTGGGCAAAGAAACCACAAGGATGTTGATCGATGTTGGCGTTGAGCATAACTTTTCTCGGGCTGCATTTTTATGGTTTCTCTCGTGTACGTGTGTGTGTGTGTGTGCGAGAGTGTGTGTGTGCGCGTGCGTGCGTGCGACTGTATGTGTGTGTGTGTATGTGGGGGGAGGGAATTGGGGGGAGGGGTGGGGGAGGGGTGCTGGTGCCAGTGTAGGATTCTTGTGATACTGCTGTTGACACTACTTCTTGTTCCTCTTCTTCTTATTATTATTTTCCTTTTTTTTATGTTTTCTTATTCTTCTTTCTTACCCCCCCCCTACCCCCCCCCCCCCCCAGTCTTTCGTTATGTGTTTTTATTTATCTCCTTTTGTCATTTGCATCTCTTTTCTTATCGTTATTTCTTTCTGCCTGTCTTTGTTTCTTTCTGTCCTTTGTGTTTTGGTTTTTGCTTTACTTTATTTCTATGTTCCTTCATTCCCATTTTTTAGTTTCTTTGTTGTTTTCTAACTCACCGGTAACCCTTTAAGGTTGTCTTACACTTTCTTCAAGTCTATTTGATACCTCTGCCACAGGTTATTCCTACCTCTTCCTCCACTGCCTCCTTGTTTTCCGTAATCTCCCTTCCGCATTGTGTTATCTCTTTTCTCATCGCTCTCTCTTTCTCACCCTCTTTCTTTCTTTTTGTCTTTCTGTCTTTCTGTCTTTCTTTCTTTCTGTTCTTTCTTTCTTTCTTTCTTTCTTTCTTTCTTTCTTTCTTTCTTTCTTTCTTTCTTTCTTTCTTTCTTTCTTTCTTTCTTTCTTTTTCTTTCTTTCTTTCTTTCTTTCTTTTTCTTTCTTTCTTTCTTTCTTTCTTTCTTTCTTTCTTTCTTTCTTTCTTTCTTTCTTTCTTTCTTTCTTTCTTTCTTTCTTTCTTTCTTTCTTTCTTTTTTATTTCTTTTTCTGCTTTTTCTTCTTTGTCTTCCTTTTCTCATCCTTTCACTTTAACGATCTCCCGCTCCTCGCTTCCAGACCCGCTCTAACATCGAATATTCTTCTTCTGCCCTCACCAGAAGGTGTAAATGCGCTGTGTCCAGTTTACAGCATAGCTTTCAGTCAACACATCCGACTTCTGCAGGCGTTTGTTGTCCAGTTTACAGCATAGTTTTCAGTCAACACATCCGACTTCTACAGGCGTTTGTTGTCCAGTTTACAGCATAGATTTCAGTCAACACATCCGACTTCTGCAGGCGTTTGTTGTCCAGTTTACAGCATAGATTTCAGTCAACACATCCGACTTCTGCAGGCGTTTGTTGTCCAGTTTACAGCATAGCTTTCAGTCAACACATCCGACTTCTGCAGGCGTTTGTTGTCCAGTTTACAGCATAGATTTCAGTCAACACATCCGACTTTTGCAGGCGTTTGTTGTCCAGTTTACAGCATAGCTTTCAGTCAACACATCCGACTTCTGCAGGCGTTTGTTGTCCAGGTTAGATTTGCTGGTAACTGCAAAAACTGCCATTTCTGCCTGTAATTACCACAGGAAGTCTTTACGCCTGAGAATTCAGGGCCGCGTGGCTCCTGCTCTCGCCACGGACTAGGCAGGGTAGGAATTTAATTTGCCCCGGAGAGAAAAAAAATCCAGTCTCACTGAGGATTCGAAGCTGGGTCTCTCAAATGAAAGCCCAGCGATCTTAACTGTTCGAACAGCCGCTCCTCCTTCGCGGTAACACCGATTCTGTACCTAATATACTACCTCAGAATTGATTCAGCAAAGACACTCCAAGCCATCTCAAAGCGTCGGCGCTTATGAAAAACTATAACCGGAAGACCTACGAAACTGACGCTAGACCCCAGCCTATGATTAAACTGAATGTCTGTGTGAGCCCACGAAGAGTAGCCCCTGCTTGAAATTCGATTAGATTCTGCCATGGGCAGAGGTTTGTTGGCAAGGTGAAATCTAATTTGTTGACGTCGTGTTGTTTTAAAATTGGGAAATTTGGAAAAATCCACAACCTAAGTTGTTCGTTGTCTGTATTTGAAGCTTCGTGGAGTTAGCAGAAAGAAGGATATAAGACACAATACGTTTCAATAGACACAATGGGAGATAATAAATGGGATCTAACAATGGGAGGTAATTATAAATAATTTTAATAGACCCAAGGGGAGATAATAAATGAGAAGTAACAATGGGAGGTAATTATGAATAAGGGGTTTGAAAGGAAGAACTGATGGGGATAATTTTGGTTGTACAGAACGAGTGGTGGAGATAATG